TCCTCCTCAGTCCAGATATGGTCACTTCCTGTTCACTGGTTGATAAACCAACATGGCGACAGACTAAATGCTGAACTCAAGGCTTCAAAACGTCACGGTGACAGTATACTGTAGATATAGACTTCTATACGGTCTGTAGGTGATATGCTGACTAAAGAAGGAAACATGAACATGCTGCTATGGTGTTTGTTGATGTGTTGGTATCAACTGGTATTGTCAGTAATATCTAACGTGGCTGGAGCAAACCCCATTAAGTTTTCTGATCTGTTGAACTCTGGTGTGCCGTGATTCCCGATGTCCGAGGGACATTGAACATAGCATCAGCTCCTACCTGGAATCAATGGCTCCGAGGCCCAAAGCGACCGTATGAACGAGAGCTTCCTACCTGTGTCGGGGGGTTTGATGAGGTCCATGATGACGGAGTCCGCTCCTTTAGTGTAGACCGTGATCTGGTCCGTCAGAGGGTGTCGAACCACCACAGACATGCGCTTCCTGGTGGAGTCGAAGCCCAGCGTGTGCAGCAGCTCGAAGCTCAACTTGCCCAGGTGCGGCAGCTCCACGGTCACCTGGTCCGGGAGGCGTCCCACGAGCGAGCACTTGTAGGCGCGGGCGGCGTAGACCAGCGCCGCCTCGTCAGGGGACTCGGCCTCGTAGCGCAGCTCGCCGTCCTCCGGGCTCCGCGGCTTCCCGTCGTAGCGGGGCGGGGGGGTCTGCTGCTCCTCCTGCAGCTTGGTCAGGGTGCTCTCGGCGGAGGGCGACGACAGCAGGCTGGAGCCGCCCTTGTTGGAGGACGAGCGGTTGGTGACGAGGCTGGAGGAGCTGCTGCTGTTGGAGCCCGAGGTCAGCCGGCTCGGTGTGAAGCGCTTGATGAAGTCCTCGATGGTCTTGACCGGAGACTTCAGCTCAAACCTCATCCGGACCTGGAGGGAGAAGCAGACATCGACGTTATGAGACCGAGTGTTCAGCCTGTTAGGGCCGAGGTTTCTGGGTCCATCAGAGCGGATGAGTGCGAACATTTCTGTCACTTTTAGAAACAGAAAACCAGACGTTCACCCTGCGCACAAGTTATAATTCATTACCTCAATATATTCAAAATCTTTGCCACATTTTGATTAATTAGTGCTCAATAATTAAAGTAACTAAATAGTGCACGAGGCCACGTCAGTCGTTCTTTTATTTAGTGCTGGTTCTGGCGCCCCCTGTGGTCAGAAGTGGTAGTGTTTCTGGTTTAACTGGGTCTGACAGTCGGCTCAGTCCTGGTTCTGGTTCTTATGGTTTCATTACTTTAGTTTTATTTTAGAAATCATTTAACATCAACGTCACTGAACAGAGTCACCTGAAGAAAGTAAAGAATGAACACAAACAGGACAAACTTCAATAAAACATTGTGTTTCTCTGCAGTCATCATGTGATCAGGAATACGGCTGCAAAACACAGATTATTTTCATTGTATGTTAACGATAGTCGATGAGTCGTTTGGTCAAAACAATATCAGAAAATGGTGGAGATCAGATCAGTGGTCATGTCTTGCTTTGTCTCGTCAGTTTACTGTTTCGCAGACGAGCAAAGAAACCAGAAAATATTCACATTTAAGAAGAATTCTGACTTTTTTCTCCCTCAAACCGATTAATCGATGATCAAACTATATTAATGTAATAGTTGACAACCAATCGACTGATCTCTGCAGCTGTGATCAGCGTTGTTGTTCAGCTGCTTCTGGGAAACACTGGAGCTCTAAAAGAGAAAATCATAAATGTGTTTTATGAAGATTTAATCTGGTGAGGAACCAGAACCAGCTCCAGAGGTTTAAAGACCTGAGTCCTGATGAAAAGGCTCCGTTAGGTGTTGCAGTGACTCACATATATAAATCACTCAGGTTCCCAGTGAAGCCACAAGGGCAACATCATAAAAATGTGAAGAATGACAAAAGAGCACAAACTGAAAGGCGAGCGTATCAAAGCCAGAGCTTCTGTACACATTTACATTTCCTCCCATCTGATCAGATAACCTCCAAACACAAACAGTGCTCCATAAATAATGTGTCACAGCAGCTTAATCTGCCCACAGGAGAGGATATATCACCTCTGAACAGGACGACCACACCCGGTCTCACACCAACACAACACGGAGACTCGACTGAGACCAGAGGGAGAACAATGAAACCTTCAGCTAGAACACCAGAGGAGACTCTGTGAGGTCGCTTTATGGGAAAGAAATAACGTCAAACTAAATGAAGTCTTTGTGTCAGAAGATGAAAAAGCTACTCCCATGTTTAAAAGAAGATAAACAGAAAGAGGGCGGTACTTCAGCAGAATGAGTTCCTATTGGTTCTTCAAAGTTCTTCAAAGCTTCAAACTGACCATAAAGTCATTGGCAGCCCACTGCTCCCTATATACGGGGATGGGTCAAATGCAGAGACAAATGTCCCCCTTAAAGGGCTCAATATGGTATAATAAATAAATAAATAAATAAAGCAGGGGATGCTTTAGGGCGGGGCTACACGGTGATTGAAAGCTCTGTACCAGAGACGTATACGACGTCTCTACGTCACTCCTCCTCAGTCCAGATATGGTCACTTCCTGTTCACTGGTAGCAACAACATGGCGACGGCCAAATCGACAACCCCGAGGCGTCAAAACGGCAGCATAAAGGGATTATTACTATGCTTTGTTGTGCAACCCTGTCTTGTACAATGACAATTAGCGTGTTAGCATGTGTTAGCATGCTGACATTTGGAGAGCATCAGGAGGAGAGCTAGTAACGTTAGCGGTGCTGCTAACGTTACTAGCTCTCCTCCTGTTGGTTGTTTACAATGAAACACGATCAGAGACCAGAGACTAGAAACACATGTTCTACTGAGTCAGTAACACTTTATTTACACTCTGACGGTTAACGGTGAACTGTTAACTATAGATGAGGAGTACCTTGTGCCGCGGCTGGTTGGGGGAGGACACCACCACCGTGTTGCAGACGGTGAGAGCGATGAAGAAGTCCATGACGTCGGCGAGGTCAGAGGGCAGCTGGGAGACGGGCTGGCTGTGGAACCGCATGAAGTCCATCTGACTGCTGCACTCATTGACTTTGTCCAGCAGCTGAGGGTCGGGGGTGACGTCTTTCTCCTGCGGGACAGACAAGAGGACGGATAATCAGAGGACGGCTCACAGGACGAGGACGGCATTGGTGTCGACGCTGCTGACCATCGGGCTGCTGAAGGCCGTGTGCTTGGACAGGATGCTGGCCCGCTTGGCCTCGGCCCGGCTGCCCGTCCTGCGGTGGGACTTGGTGCTGTGGGAGCGCAGCACCACGCGGCTCTGGTGGCTGCTCACGCTGTCCCGTCTGGGCAGAGTGCCGCCGTGAGACGGACACTCCTCCTCCTCCGAGTCCATCTCCTGGTACATCGCAAGTCTTCTGGCTGGAAGCCACAAAGACATCAGTAAACTCATATCTCATATTCATGGACGACTTTATTGTCTTGATTTGTCTCGTTTAAATCATTCTTAAAACACATCTTTACAGACGGGCTTGTATGTGATGTCGTCACTTTTCTGTTTTATTTGTTGATTTTACTGAATTACTTTACTAAAGTTGATTTATTTCTATCGTATCGACTGTCTCACTGATCTTTCTGTTCTTATTATCGTCTTGTTTTTGCTGCTTCGTCTGTCACAGCACTTTGTAAACTCTGTTTTTAAAAGTTATTATTATTATTATACAAACCTGTAAAGAAACAAGTCAAGTATTAAATGTATTATAAAGAAACTAAGGTTGAATATCCTGTAAACTATTTGAATGGACTGATAAATATTTACTATAATGTAGATTTTTAACACGTCTCGTTTCTAAAGATAATAAAATCGAATTGACCGTCTTTGTAACAATCTCTAGACGTGCAAATTAATTCTGTTTATAAACAACAGAAATTCAAATATACACGAACAAACCGGCGGCTGTGATTACGTCATTTTCACTACAGCGAGTATGAACTTTGCTTATGAAGGGAACTGATTTTATGAGTGTGTGTGTATGTGCATGTGCGTGTGTATGTGCGTGAGTGTGTGCGTGTGTGTATGTGCGTGCGTGTGTTTGTGCGTGAGTGTGTGCGTGTGCATGTGTGTGTGTGCGTATGTGCGTGTGTATGTGCGTGCGTGCGTGGATGTGTGTGCGCGCGTGTGTGCGTGCCTGCGAGCTCTCTCTCTCTCTCTCACCATTTGCATCATGAGAGTACTCCACCCCCGCCACGGTGCAGCGGCGGAACACCATCTTGTTCTCGGTCAGCGTGCCGGTCTTGTCGGAGAAGATGTACTGCATCTGACCCAGATCCTCGGTGATGTTCAGAGCTCGGCACTGCAGCCGAGAGTCCGTCTCCTCGTCGTACAGCTCAGAGTCCTGGTGGATGAAGAACACCTGGCACACCTTCACGATCTCAATGGACACGAAGAGGGAGATGGGAATCAGCACCTGGGGGGGGGGGGGGGGGGGGGGGGGGGGG